ACTTTTGAAAACAAGTGGAAAAATCTCTGTGATAGCTTCAAAAAATGTCTTGGCAGAGAAAGAGATATGAACAGGTCAGGTGCAGGTGCTTATAAGCCACCTCGCTGCAGATATTTTAGTCAATTGGCATTCCTTCGGGATACACTAAGTAATCGCACCACCCATAGCAACGTTACCATCCAGTCTGTTGAACCACAACATTCACAACACCAGTCCCCATCCTCGTCTACATCATCAGAACCTATTTCTTGTGCAGAAGGTATTTTAAATCAAAGCTTCCCTAATGTTGAACCTCAGGCAACTATAGTTCATTGTAAAAGGAAAAAAAATGATGACATGGATCCTATTGATCACTACTTAATTAATGCCATAAAAGAAAAAGATCAAGGCAGTGATAAGAAAGAACATGAAGATGAAGATTTCTTTTTTTGTAAAAGTATTGTGGATGTTTTGAGAAAGTTCCCAAGAAAAAAAGTCTGGAAGTAAAATAAAAATTCAACAGATTCTTCTGGAAGAGATGGATGATGAATGAGGGAAATGTGAATATTCACTTTGTTTTGTCTGACAGGTTTATGTTTTGTTTGTAAGTTTTGTTGTGATGTTTTTATTTTGAAAAATTTGAATTCCTTGCATGAATCATGATCATTTCCCATGCAAATTTTAGGGATGACATTAATGTCTTTTAAATAAAGTTATCATGATTTGTGGCAATTATTTACATCAACATCATATGCATGCCATTGCCAAGGGACCTCTCCTTCCTTTGAATTAAAATATTTACAAAATTGTCTCTTACTTCTTTAGCATCTTTTGCATAGTTGTTTGAACCAACTCTTGATATTTGACCCAAACCAGTTGTATCAACTACCATATCTCGCCAGTCCCCTCCTTTGAAATGTCCATTGATTTCATGGTCAACAAAACCTAATGGACAGTATCGGTTAGCATATGTCTTTCCATTCATTAGGTAATTATGCAAAGCAACACAAGCTTTGGTAATTGAAATAACTGTGTCAACTTTTGCATGAATTGGACGACGTCTAAATATTCGGAATCTTGCAGCCAATATTCCAAACGAGTTTTCAGTTATACGCCTGGCTCTTGATATGCGATAGTTGGTCACAAGTTTCCTTATGTCCAAATTAGGATTTGCATAAGGCTTCATCAAGTTCTGACGTAATGGGAATGCATCATCTCCAAGAAAGACAAATGGAAATAAAACATTTGAACTGTCTATCTGTCTTGGTCTAGGCACTGGCAGGAGATTCTTAAGAATAGAATAGCCAAGATTGCTATTAGAAAATACACCACCATCACTTTGCCTGCCTGCTTCCCCAATATCGACCATTGTAAATTGGTAGTTTCCATTACAAACTGCTAGCAGCACAATTGAGAAAGTTTTTTTATAATTGAAAACAGTGAACCACTCCTAGCAGGTGCTTGAATGAGTACATGTTTTCCATCAATGCACCCCAAGCAATTAGGAAAATTCCAACGTTTTTCAAACAATTTGGCAATTGCTAACCAATCTTCTGGTGCTTTAGGCATGTTCAAAATGTTTTTCTCCAACATTGCTTCCCAAATAGCATTCGATGTTTCGCTGACAATCTTTGATATTGTGGTTTCTCCAATTCTATAACTCATCGATATGGTTGAGAAAGAGTCACCCGTTGCTAAATAGCGCATAGTCACACATAATCTCTCTTCAGGTTTTATAACATCTCTCCGAGTTTCCTGTTTATAAATTTTGGCGTATCCAGCTTAAAACCTCTTCCATCTGGCTAGGATCCATCCTGAATTGCTTAAAAAACAACTCATGGTCGTGCAGTTTCAACTCTTGTACTAAGTTCACAAATTCCCCTCGTATTGCACGACTTTTAAAAAGCTTTCTGACCCAAAATCTCTTTTTGTATTTTTTCAAACGTCGTTTTCTTCTTCGGTATATCAAGAGCAGGCAAATTAATTGTTTGCGGCTGAACTCCATATTGCTATATTATTTAAAAGTTGGCGCTCTTTTTCTCATGCGTGGAAATCGAATTACAGGAGAAAATTTCGCAGAAACAAAATTTCGCGCGAACTATTTCGCATTTCGCTGCCGTGGAATTAGGCCCATTGAGTTCTATAATAACTGGAGCGGCTATCTTTACTGGGGCGAGGTCGCCAAAAAAATGGCGGCCAACGGACGTATTTCCGCTGAAATGATCGCTTTGCAGAAAAATAATATTCTCGACCTCCCCCTGGTGTCTATAGTAAATTATAAAGAATTTTTCAAAAACAAACACGATATCACAGAATATGGATATCGTTAGTTCCATATTCTGTGACGATTCTTTTTTGGCATTTCTTTTATAATGCCAACACTTCAATCGTTCAATTGTTGGATGTCGTAGTTTCCACAAAAAGGTACATATCGCTTCCCACAGGTGAGGTAGTTGTTTGTTTTGTTAGTCCGTCAACGATTGAAAAGCAATTATACATGCACTTGAAAAGCCATAAAATACATATTAAAGATCGTATTTTTTAAGACTGACTTGAACGCCAAATATACTGATGTTTTCCTGTTTTTGTCTATAAATTTCTGCATACTTTTCTGTCATTTGTTAATGCATGAAATCGTAAATTTACCTATCTATTTGCAAAATAGTTTCCCTAAAGCAAAAAGACCCTGCACACATTTTGCTCTGTGAAAAGTATCAAGAAGAAATGATCAGCCCCAACAGTACCCATGATTTGGAGCAGAGCTTGTTATGTTGTATTTGCTGACAACATGCAGGGAAGACCAAGAAGTAAAGATGACTGGAAGATGTTATTGATCAGGCAGAGTCTTAAAAAAATGATAATGCTGTAAAGATAATTGATTTATTGTCTGCCTTATCCAGAGTTATTTAATTTGATCATGGTCAAATTCTATGGATGGAGACAATGGATTCACTAATGATGCCTTGAATGCTTTGAAGTTGAAGTTCATGAACCAAAAAAAGATGGCAAGAAGGTTGTGTGTTTTGATGCTTAATTAAATGTCAATTCACAACATATAAAATGGAAAGGCCATAAAGTTTGTGTCTATGTAAACATTTGTACTGAGATTGATGATGACTTGATGCAGATGTGAAGCATTAAACTGAATAAGCCATTGGGTTTTATATAACATAATGTTTAAATCATGGCATATCTTTATCAAAATATTTTAGTTGAGTGTTGTTTAAATGTTACTAATATCTAATGCACTATACTGAAGCATTAAAGATTCAGTGATGAAACCTTTAAATTTACTGTACTGTATATTTCTTATATATTTCTTATATTTCTTTAAGAAACAGTTTGAGCTTATTTACCTATTAGAGTACAGAATGGGATTTATCATATGCATCATTGCTGCTTTTTTAAATAAATGTTTTTCACTTTTCAAAGCTTTTCTACAAATATTTTGCTTCTTATTTCTTTTCATGAGATTGATGATATAGAGGTAATATAATCCAATAACTTTATAATTTCTAGAAAGCTGTTAAGCTTCTAGCATAAAAGTACACTATAGGTATTTAATTCATTTGGTTTTATTGCCTTGTTATGACATATCCATATGCATTTCATCATTCATGTATGAAGAAAACACCAAATGTGGATACTCAGAGAACAAAATGCACTACCAACTGCTTATGAAATTTATTATTGAAGTGAAAACTGTTTTAATCATTCAAATTGTGCACTTATATTGAAAATATAGGAAAAACAGAACAAAGTGAAAAAAGGGTAGAAGTATTAAAACTAAAATGAATTATAAACACCATTGGAAGCATAAGTGTTTTGATGATTATTTGCATTTTGCCCAATTTATATATCAATACAACAAAATCAAAATGTGCTACAACTTTACAAGTATTTGATGCAGTTGCACTTCAGAACATCACAAAAGGTTACTTAAAGTAATTTCTATACAATATTGTTTGTTTTCATTTACCAAACCTATGCAGACTTGAGTCTTTTGAAATTTAATATGAAACTCAATTACAGAAAATACGTAAATATCCAGAGATTTAATATTTACTTTTTAAAGAAACAAGTAAAAAGAAGCAAAATAGCAATGATAAAAATAAGCTAACTTCTCTCGTGAACCACTGTGGAGATGAACTATGATATACTTTTTTATAGACTAAAGAGTTTAATCGATCAAACAAGTTTGACGCTGGTAAGAAAACGACGCATATCTGCATTCATAGATGTGTAGCCGACATATAGCTCTTTCATCGATAGTTATAAATACATCCTCGTAGGAGCCGATAACTGGAAAGCTATGTTGACTCGCTGTTACGAATTGTAGGTTTTTATCGTGATTTTCATCAAAAAATTGCTTGCCGAATCCCAAATACACACATACATTTTCTTCACTCTTTCCTCAGGAGGGAGTGGGAAATTGTGAAATTTTCGGAAAAGCGGTCAATTTCGGTAAATCTCAGCGGCAACGGACGAAATCCGCCATTTTTTTGGCGTCACCAGATATCTAAGGCCGCGCTTGAGATAGCCGCTCCAGTTATTATAGAACTCAATGATTAGGCCTTAATGTCATGAAGCCTACGGGAAAATGAAGGAGAGTTGAATTTTAAAAAATATGAACTACCTAATCACAAATGTATAAAACATGTTTAATGTTAACTCAAACTGCAAATTAAAAAGACTGAAGATGTTTGAAGCTTTGCAGTATCTTTGGATTGCTACTTCAAAGTAGATGCAATTCTTTCCTGGAGCAGGTTTATTATGCTAAATAGTATGCGTCAGCGCAATGCTTATCACAAAATTGGCAACAAAAACGCAGGACTTTTTATTGTTTAACTAGCGTTGCATTAACTGTGACAGAAACATTTTCAGCTATTAGTTGGAAGTTTATTAAAGCTTTGTAATTTCAGAAAATTCCTAAAACTTTATTTTTTCATTATGTTAAGAAGAAGAGTGTTTCAGCGTCCATTTTCTTTATTATTAGGGAAAATTTTTGCTTTTAATTTCAGTAAAACCAAATGTGCTAATTAATTGTCCAACACGTCGGGTTGTGGATGAAGGTGATTATGTGTCATGTGTATGTAGAGGTGAAGGAGGTAACCCTCCTGCTAATGTCACATGGTTTGATAAAGATAACAACATAATTGGTGATGTTGAAGTTGTAAATAAGACATTAGTAATCACTAATGTTGCATTGAATGATGGTGGAAATTACACATGTAAAGCACAAAGTTATAATGATCCACGTTATAGAGATGAAAAATCCATTGAAATAAAAGTGAAAGCTACATGTAAGTTTATAATATTATGTTTCAGATTTCATTCTGAATGTTTGTAGTGGAATATGAATTTTATTTTTAGACCGACCACGACAAACTAATATTACCATCAGTCCAATGTCAGCCAGAATAGGTCAAACTGTGACAATATCCTGTGAGTCAGATTGGCAGCCTGAACCAACCTACACCATTTACCACAATGGTACAGATAGCACATCTGTTGTCAGCAATAATAAAACATACACCATTCATTCCATCAACTACAGTGATGCTGGCTCGTATCGTTGTGAAGCAAAGAATGAACTGCGAAATGATTTATCTGAGGTTAAATATCTCACTGTCAACGGACATACAAATCCTACTCCCACTAACAACAAACATACAAATACCACTAGCTACGAAGGTAAAATTAAGAACCTCAGTTTATCACTTGTTGGACTTTTATTTTGCATTATGTACGAACTTTCTTGGTAGCAAAAGGTGAAAGACCGATGTTTACCTTATTGTAATTAGCATTAGACTTCTTGAATGCGCTTGAATACCCTTATAACAATAAAATTTCAGTAAACAACAAAGATTGCTCTGATTACATAACTTTTTACTGGCTCGTGTTGTAAAACAATGACTGGCAATGTCTGCATGCTGCATTAACCATAACATTTTTTCCTATGTATATATATTCTTCAATGACTATCAGTAAAAATATGTTTAACTTATCTGTATTTCCCAGTATAATCATTAAAGTGTTTATAAACGTAAATTGCCTAGAGTTCATTAATTTAAATAGATTACTTGGCGTGAATTGCTTAAATGACTGGAATTTCAAACTAGCAAATTTTCACGATTTGGTGGCACGCATTTCAATATTGAAGGAATTTCAATATTGGAATCATTCTCATTTGAAAAATTTTTGTAATTGTGCTAGCTCCTATATCAAGCTCATTCAGTCTATCGCCGTCGATAATTACGTCATCGATGACGTTTACCTTTACGTCATCAATTAGTTCCACTCCCACTACTAACGGTAACTTTTTTAACGTTTTTTTCTTTAATTCTTTAATGTGGAACATCATTTATGGAGAGTGTGTCTCACCATTTGTTTTTTAAACTTTTTTTATTAATTTATCAATTTACGTATGACCTGACACTAACTTTAGTGTGTATTGTGAATTTTATTTTTTTTTGCATATGACATTGTTTCATTCTGGCTATTTCAAACTATTTGCTAGACCTATTTAAAAAGCTATTGATTAATGTTTGAATTTGGGGTCGTCAAGAAGACTGTTTGATAAAATTTATCAAAGTTCACAACTTTTTATTTAAGTTAGCCAAAATACTTCTACAAGCAAAGATAATGGCAACAATAATTCTACAGTTAAAGATGATGATGATGATGGACCAAATATTGCTCTGATTGTTGGCATTGCTGTTTGAGCGGTTTTCCTTGTCGCCATTATGGTTGTTGTCATTTTCTGCTGTCGTATTACTAATTATTAAGTATCTACTTTTGTGTTATGTTTATTGTAGAAAAAGGATACCAGTAAGTGAATTATTCATTTTAATTTTCTTTGTGTAATATGTGATGTTAATGTGTTTTGTGTTTCTCATCTTTTGAATAAAATATTTTCATGGTTTCAGCAAGTTAGAGAAGCTGTTGTTTTTCGTACAGTACAAACTGTTGTATTAATGTTATATCTATATTTTCTTCGTTTTGTCCATATCATGTACAAAATTTAATCATGGTTATTAATGTTGCAGCGGTGAAAATGGTGTTGAACCATTAGCTGGAGCTAATAATGCACAACCCAATCATTATGAAGAGGCTGGAGGACTTAGAGAAAATGCTTATGAATCTGTTGGTAATCAATATGAAACAGTGAATAATCCATCAACAAGTGATGAAAATAAACCATCAACAAGTAAAGCACCACCACCTGTTTATGCCTCGATGGATAGAGAAAATAGAGAAGGAAATCCGGTTTGTTGTGGATATTTGTCATTTATTATTTAGAAATAAAATTTGTGCATTTATTTTGTTTTAGTTGGATTATGGTGATGATTAATTTGAATGCATCATGTGATTATGCAGGGGGGTTAAAAACTGCTCGTATGTGAAAGCACCCCATATTTAGAATTATTATTATTTAGCAGTAATTTATTCCTAAAGACCTGTAAACACACTTGAAAACAATACATACGAATTGCTTCATTGAAACTTGATTTTATATTAGACGAGTGTCTCTAATAAACGTTCAGTCTGCAATAGACAAACCCGGCACATTGTCATAATTTAAATTGTTTTATCGATTGGGCTAAGAAACCGTATATTTAGTCTTGACTTTGTTTCTGTTTTGCTCACAATAAGGTGATAGAAATGATGTAAACGTCTCTCTCTATTTCACTACTCGTATCAACTTAACGTCCCTCCCTTTCCTCGAACTGCTATGAAATTTATTTAACGTCACGGGTTTATTAGATCATTTACCATGATTAAAAAACCTACATATATTTTATTATCATATGTATATATGATAAAGTATATACCAAGTGTATAACAATGTGCCCTCCCGGCTATCACCATAGTAAAATGGTGACTCCTGCACTTGGGACACAGGATGTACGTTTACACATTGTATGGATTGTTTTGTAACCAGAGTGCTCAAACATAATAGAAAAAAACAATGTTTGTAATTACAATATATACGTATTTTTTCTGTAGATTTAAAAGATGTCCCTTAAAAAAACCCGGCTCAAAATCGTCCTGCACCAACTGAATACGCCAGGATTGATATGAGTAAACTAGCACCTGTCGAGAAAAAAGACGACAAGAAAAAAGATGACAAGAAAGGTGATGACAAAAAAGGCGATGAAAAGAAGGAATAGTAAGTTTTATCTTTTGGAAAAGATCCACAAAGCTCGACGTAATTCTTTGATGGTTGAAGAAAAAAGTAAAAATTGATTCATTTGTTGAATATTTTTTTAAAAAATGCCGAAAACATGTTTTTCTTTCTCTTATTATGGTAGTTTAATCTTATTATAAATTTAATTAAGAACTGGCGATCGTCGTTAATAAAACAAGAGTACGTAGAGACTGTTACTACATTTATAAAGTTTTACTTTGTTCTTCATTATATAATCTAGATTTGATCTCTAAACAGTATTAAACAGAATACTTTATGATTGTGTCTGTGTACATAATCTTTTGCCATGAACAAACTTGAATCTTGGCATCTATGCTACAGTTTGTGAATGTATTTTACTTGCCTTTATAAGGCAACAACATACACACTGACTTTAACACAGCGTTTTGAATAGAATATTGTTTTAATCGTAGTTTTACTTTTATTATTTTAATTATCATGGATAAACCATTTAAACTTTTATTTACATAGAAATTAAGTGTAGAAATTAGATAGAAAAATCAAGCAATTTCAAGGAGTGTGATGGAAAACTCTTTAAATTGCTTCTTTACGATTGAATCATTTCATATGCATTAGTGTAAGAGATGTTTACGAATAAAACAATTTCGTGATCATTATTATTTTTTTGCTTCTTTATTTTCGTGTCTACTGTAGATGTGAGATTTCACCTAGCCCCAAAGGCAAGCTAACATCGAGTGGCTTTGTTTCAGCAAGCTTGGGCGGTAATAGAAATTTTTTAATTTATGGATTTTATAGGAAGACAGCAAACTGCAATTTAAAACAATTTAGTGAACAAAATGTAACTAAATTTTAATGTGTGAGTCACTGCACAATGGACAGTGCTATCCTTGCTTCGTGTAAACAATGCTTCAATTCCATAAACATCAATGGTAGTTTTTAGCGAACAAACATCTCAATTATGCTAATCAGTGGACAATATTCATTAATCTTTAATGATAATCAATGACAGATGAGCAGGATAGCCTAAGGTAGAAGATAGCCTAAATATATATATACCGCAAAATGCAGATTTCCAATTATTTCTTACACTGAAATGATTCGTAAAATTCAAATGTCTTACTTGGGAGTGAATACGCTATATTTTAAATCGGATTTGCAATTCTATATTGTCCCCACATTTACTAAAATTTTGCAAAACTTTCTTTCATTTAAGATTCCAAGTTAATGGGAAAGCAATGTAAATACAACGATTGAAAGAAATTACACAACATTACTTTTGTACTTTTAATTTCTGAATTTGTTTTCGTGACTTGTTGGGTTTAGTGTTCTGGTTTTAAACAGTTCTTTTAATAACTATTACGTTATTATTTTAACCATTCACCATGGTATATGCTCTTTTTTAAACAATTTTAAATTCTAATATACCCGATTAAAAAGAGCAAAGTCGTCTGACGTCATCCATGTACAGTCCTTTGCTAAACAGAAGTTTGCAGTCCAACCATCTGAATTGAAGTCGCTTGGGTTGAAGTGGTAAAAGTTAAAGGACAACTTGGTTATTTGTCATTTGATTCACTGTTTTACGAAATCAAAAGTTTCTCAGTGATGCATGCCCCCTGGGACTCGTCAAGAACATTCTCAATCTAGCAACGTTTGGTATTTTCAGCTAAAAACTGCAGGATAAGATCATTGGTAAGATAGATAGGGTAAGCAGGAGGGCGGATCAAGCTTTTGCAGGGTCCCTGGCGATTCCAAAGTCCCCCTCCCCCCCATCTGGAATTCTTTGTAGACAAAATGTAAGAAATTTTTAATTGTGCATTAAAATTGTGAAAATTACTAAGAATATTTCAGCAAAAGCGATTTATACAGATGTTATTTTTCACAATGATTTCTTACAAAATCCACTTGTGGATGCTCATCGCCTTCAAGAGCATTGTGATCAACTAGGAAATGGATATTGGCACAGCGTGTCGAAGTATGCTTTCACAATTTATACATTCATCTAAAAGCCCCATTAAGTCATATGTTAGGATAAAATTACAGAATAGAGATTGTGTGGCCGGTATTCTGTTTTTAAAACAACTCTGGGCAATTTGCGTGGCTTGTCATGAGACAGGTTTTGATAAAATATGA